TTTTTTTGAGAGGTTTTTGCTATAGGGCGCATGCACTCACCAGAAAGACAGAAAGAGACAGAGAGACAGAAAGCAAAAAATCACCCCCCAGGGAGGATGGCCACACCGCAATCCCTTCTCCTCCATTCTCCTCTCGGGATCTTGGGCACACACGCACATGTGCCAGGCATGAGTTTAAGCCACAGGGTCTAGGACTCAAACCGCAGTCAACTACATGGGAGTTCAGCGACATAGCCATTATGCTAACTGCTGTTCCCTCATTGTGGTTTTGATTTGCATCTCCCTTATGATGAGGGAGGTTGAACATGTTTTCATATGCTTTTTGGCTGTTTGTATGTCTTCCTTCAAGAGTTGTTTATTCAGCTCATTTTCCCATCTTTTAATTGGGTTAATAATTTTCTTCCAGGTAAACTGCTTGAGTTTCTTGTGTATTCTGGTCATCAGTCCCTTATCTGAGGCACAGTTAACAAAAATTTTCTCCCATTCAGAGGGTTGTCAATTCACACGAATTACTGTGTCCTTTGCTGTGCAGAAACTTCTTAATCTGATGTAATCACCCCTGTCTATTTTGGGGATTATTGCCTGTACTTTGGAAGTCTTGCTTAAGAAGTCTTTTCCAGGACCAGTAGTTGGCATAATGGCTATGTTGCTGGGCTCCCATTTAGTTGCCCGCTGTTCAAGTCCAGGACCCGGTGGCTTAAATTCATGCCAGGCATGTGTGTGTGCGTGCCCAAGATCCCGAGAGGAGAATGGAGAAAAAGGAATTGCAGCGTGGCCATCCCCCCATGGGGGGTGATTTCTCGCTTTCTGTCTCTCTGTCTTTCTGGACAGAGTTTATAGCAAAGCATTTTAAGGACTTCCTTATTATGCCGAATCAGGTAAATTGGAATATCCTGTTTTCAGGAAAAATTGACTTGTTATAGAAGATATCTGCTTCCTTAAGGTTTTGTTTTTGTTATGTGTTGATTGGCCCAAGTAACTCTACTTTTGTTTGGTCTGACCTGTTAAGGCCTGGTTCAGAAGCTCAGTGTAAAACAATTATCTCATGATTTTTGTTTAACAAGACCCAGGTCCATGGCTGATTGTGTGACCTGATGCCAAGCACTGTCCTTTCTGGCCTGTTTGTCAGTATTCATAAATAAGAATGTTGGATGGCATAATTTCTTTAAGTCTATTCAGTCTTTTCCTCAATCATTTAAAAACTGTCACTGAGGTCTATACCAGGCAGCATGCACAGCCTTAAACTATGTAACTTTAATTATGTAACATTTAACTTTTTTTTTCAACTCTTTAGGGAAGCTTCATATGGTCTGCCATTATTTCTCTCTCTCCAGTCTCAGGGCTGTAACTTGTTACTTTGAGCAGAGCAATTCAGACTTTTAATTTAGTGACTCTTTGTTTCAGATGCCGGGTGGGTGAGAACTGGTGGTACCGGGGCGAGCACTGCGAGGAGTTCGTTTCTGAGCCCATAGTGATCAGCATCGTCATTGCCTTGGTGGTGGGACTTCTCATCATCTCTGCTGTTGTCATCTACTTCCTCATCAAGACTCTTCAAGCACAGTATATTAGGAGAGAAAGAGAGAGAGCCTTTAGGTAAATGAGCAAAAGAGCTCTCAGATGGAATAAATATCCTGTTTATTAATTCATTTAGTATTTACCACTTGAGGCATGTTGGACAAGGAGCAGGGAGGATGGGAAAGAGCTATAAAGGAGAACAAAAGCATGGTTACTGTCCTCAGAGGACTGTCAAATCAGAGAGAAACATAAGTAGCACTATGAATAGGATGCTAAAACGACTATATGAGGGATGAGTTAGTTTTGTTTGTGGAGAAAGAGTCTTAAAAATATTATTGATGATTGCTATGTTAGCTGGACCAAAGAGTAGACTTTGCTAGGAGCAGGGTAGGGTGCTCTCTGGCTAGTTGAATGAGCATGATAGGCAGGAATGGCTGAACTGCCAGGCACGCTGAAGGAAAGGCATCCCGAGTGTGGTGAGTGCCTGTTTCATGATAGGGGAGGGTTCAGGGATATCAGAGATGAGATGGAAAAGCTGTTTCCCTTCTATGAGGACTGCATCTGTTACGCCTTGCTCCTCTTCAGCTCATACTGGTAGTAATTAGCCAGACTTTTGTATATGGGTAAGAATCTGACAAGAAACAAAATCTGGTTCTTTGATTTGAGGTGTGGCTTCATTAACAGAGGAAGTAAAACCTGGACTACTTGCTTGGGCACCCAGAGCCCTCTGGGTGTTGATGTAATCCTGTTCCCTGGTCGTGCTCTGTTTCTGTGCTTCTGGAGTCTACAAGAGCTCCCACTTTAAGTCTAGGTTGCCACCCTTCACCCTCTGACTTGGCTCAGGGGGCACCTTTGGTTTCTAGGGCACCAGGATATATTTCCATTATGTTCTTAGACTTTTTATTTGATTGATTTCAGCTTCTTGTTGCACTGTCATCACATTTAGAGATTCTAAAAAATGCTTTTTATTGTCAGCATCTAGAATAGCCTAGACATATAATCACTACTCAGTAAACACAAGGAGTCTACAAAAACCCCGTGGAAAATGTACATTATGGAAAGGCTTCACATGGATTTAAACAATTTTTTTATACTAAAATGAACTTACATTTTAATTCCACTTTTCCATGAACTTTTTGAAGTTCCCACATGTTTATGGACCTGGATTGAGTTGGGGGGCCCCAGCTCCTCTCTCCACCCAATATTTATACTTCTATCAGGTTCTCTCTGTAGTTACAAACTGATTTTTTTAACACTGATTTTTAATGTGTATGACTTTGAGAATATTGGAGCTATTTAGTGAAATACCATCTTCTGGCAGACATAGCTCCAAGCCATCATTTACTAAGTGCTGGGCACTGTGGGAAGATAAGTTGAATGAGACATGGAACAATTACACAGGGCATTTGCCATGTAGTCAAGGAGATGACAATAACCAACCTGATTAATAATGTTGAGACCGATCTGGATATTTTTCAGTTGCTTCTTCCTCATTTGTGTTTAGTTCACCTCTTTTCTTTCTAAGTTTATATTTTTTCCATGAGTAAGAGAGATGAGAGAGAGAGAGAGAAAGAGAAAGAGTGAGTGCCCCAAATAGGATTTCAATACCATGATCCACCCCAGCCTTCAGCCAGCCCTGGATCATGGGCAATCTTATGTCTGACATACTCACGGAGGTCTCTGGGCTTGAACCAGGAGACTTCCCATGTGGGACTGCTTTGCAGAGTATTGCATTTTACCATTGTGCTACTGTCTGCTCCCATCTCTTTTCCTTCCCAACAAAAATCTTGTTCCAGATCAACAGTCTTATGTGTAGTTGCATATTCAAAGAAGAACCTGAATCAACCCTATCTTTTTTTTGTAATGGCTCCAGCAGACAGGCTGACAGCCTCTCAGCCATTGAGAATGCAGTGAAGTTCAACCCCATGTATGAAAGCCACATGCCCGGGTGTGAGCAGTATCCTCCATATGCCTTCTACAGCTCTGCTAGCGAAGAGGTGACGGGTGATCCGAACAGAGGAGAACTCAGACAGATGTATGAGAGGCATGAGCTTTCCAGAGAGGTAGGAGTTTGTATTTCTGTTGTTGTACTGTTGTTGCTGCTCCCCCTGCTGGTGTGTGTGTGTGTGTGTGTGTGTGTGTGTGTGTG